TATATATATATATATTTCAATCATATATTTTCAAAACATCACTATTTAAAGAACCTATTTTAAAAAAGAGGCCGGGTCTATATCAAGAGCAAGAAACTTGATTGTTTTGTGTAAAATATTTTATTGTATGAATGTATGGTGAAAAATGATCATGTATCATATAATTTAAAATTTTAAAGAATGACATACAGGGGCCAAAATAAAAAATTAACTATTTTGATTTTGATTAACAAAAAGTAAATTAATTTGAATTTACTTATGATAATTTTTTAATCTTAGCCAAACATGATCAAATCAATTGTAGGTACATAATCATTTCTATAGGTCCACCTGCTTATCCATCAACTATTGTCTCCCTGCAACGAACTAGCAGGCAGGCTGGCTGCATTTGAGGCAGCATTATCACTCTTTACCTCAATAATATCACAAATACTTTATTTTATAAAAGTTATATTTTGGCCCCCCATTCAGAAATCAAAATTTTAATTTTAATTTAAGTTAAAATCAATAATTAATTTTAATAACACATTTCATAATATTGACTTTGATTTATACTAAAATCAAATGTATATATATGACTAAAGAAGCATTAGCCAAGAAGTTGTATACTTAAGCTTCTAAGCATAATTTATTGAAGCTAGCTTGTTTGATACCCATTTTCGTCTTTCCAATCACATATTTTTCAATAAAATAATATTACATTAGATTAAAAAAAAATCATTCATTTTTTGTCACACATTTTTCATTAATCTACTATTTCAAAACACATTCTGTACAAAAATGGGGGATCAAATATGTAAAGACTAAAGTATATTAAGCTCCTGTTTGACGTGGATTAAAGTTAGATTTTTAATAAATTTTGATATAAATTAATAAAATATATGATTCAAAAGTTAGAATTTCATAAAATATTTAATTAAAATTAATTATTGACTTTAATTTAAATTTTAATTCATATAGAAGTGTTAAAAGTTCAATTTTTTTGCTAATAACAAATAAATATTTATATCAACTAGTGGATGAGAATTTAAGGATAAGACCGAACCACTTTATCATTATAGGCAGAATATTCAATTCAATCCCATGTCAACTTTTCATTCATTTGTCTAGTAAACACACACAGACACGCGCAAGAATGATCCAATAAACTGTATAGATCTCATCTTCCTCATCGCCGTTGATCATTTTCTTGAATGCCCTTTCGATCTCATAAATATTTCTTTGATTTGGGCATATCTATATTTTACAGGGCAGGGTTTCAATATATCTATATCTATAGATTTTTATTTTTTGAAAATGCCTACAAGGGTCGCGAACAAGAGTGGAGTTGAAGGTGAAGACTGCATGCATAAGATGTCTAGTGTCGAATCGCCGGCAGTTTACGACGGAGATCGGCTGTTTCCGGTAGCGAAAAAGGTGGGTTTTAAGGATGTTGAGAAGAGAGAGAAAGAAGAAAAGAGATTTGATTCTCAAAATTCTGCTTCCGAATCATCGTCTATAGGAAAAAACAGTGATATTTCTGAGAAATCATCGGATAATCTTGACGAAGAGGTTCAGAGTTCATTTAAAGGGCCCTTGGACGCCATGGATGCCTTGGAGGAGGCTTTACCAATACGGTTAATATTTTATTTTTCATTTTAATTTATTTTTTATTTCATGTTTACCTTATTCTCGTCGAAATTATTTTGATTTTTCTTATATTCCTTCCGACTGATTTGATCTTTGACTTTATGTCCAATCAGATTTTGGGTTCTTTAATGTTTTTATTTTCCTTGTAATAAAAGAAACAAAATAATATGATATTGTTGGTACTTGTACAGGTATGCCTTGGCTACATTGGATTCTTTTTGTAAAAATAACGATGAACAAATCGATTAGGAAAGAAAAGAAAATTCATGTATTCTACTTAGTTTTAATAATTATTACATCAAGTTGAAATACAAATGAAATTTGGATAATCGTGCTTCGATTGTATTGAGAATAAGAATTTGTCGTTGTAATATGAAGTTTGAGTACTGCATATCAAATATGCATTGAATGCTGATAAAGTTGATAATATTTTGTTTTTAGGAGGGGCATTTCAAGATTCTACAATGGAAAATCCAAGTCCTTCGCAAGTTTGGCGGATGCATCGTCGTCGTCCATAAAAAATCTCTCGAAACCCGAGAATGCATACACAAGGAAACGAAGAAACCTTCTCGTCTGTAGTATCGCTAGCTGGGATGTCAAGAATAGAAGCCCCCTTTCGAGGAGTAACGGAGGTGGGGTTTCTAAGAGAAATGCCAACTCGAGTCGAACCACATTGGCCTTGGCCGTTGCCATGAGCAATTCCGGAAGTGACAAGCATCCCACCGAATGCAACTCTTCAGGATCATCCTCGTCGTCTTCTCCTCGGAAGGATTTCCCGGTGTGGCGATCCTTCTCATTGGCCGATTTGCAACAGAGCGTGACTACTACAACCACATGTACTTCTTCAGATCAAGTAGCTATGAATCCTTAATACTAACTAAACACATTGACATACAACCTAATTTTGATCCGATGATGATCAACTGATGTGACTTTCAACACAGTCTTGCTACTAGGATGTCCCAAAATTGATTTTTCAATGTCTCTGTAAGTGAAATCTACTAATAATATTTTTCTTTGTCGATGCTTCATTTTGATAATTCAACTACACTTTGTTTTAACTTATCCTTTTTCTTAAGTCAATGTATTCATCTCCGACGGTTGAACCAATGAAATATCTTAGGTAATGTTGGATATTGGTTAAATAAATCGAGAATTGAAATCGATTAAAGTTCGTATCGACTTCGGCCAAATACTCAAAAGCTCGACTCAATCCGTTTAGGCAAAATTGTTTGTCACTTC